GGGGGGAGGACGGCATAGTGGCGGGGGCTTCCTCTCCTCCGCATGAGGCGCTGCCCGAGCGGGGCAAGGGCGGGGCTTTTCCACACGCCGCCCAGGCCGTGGTCGCGAAGTGTGCCGTGCTTCGACAATGATGGAAGATGTCCCCCCCCCCCCCCCCGGTGATTGTGCGTGTTGTGCTGCTTGGCTCCATCGCCGCCGCCGCCGCCTCAGCCGATGGGCGGGAATGGTTACCGACGATGTCCCCAACAAAGCCCTGGCGCCCGGTGCGAGAAAAGCAGCCCGGTCGCGGGCCGAACATGTTTGGCCCTGCCTGTGGGAGTGTGTCTATGTGTGTACTCATGTCGATTCGTATGCATGCAGCGACCGTGGTGCCCCATCTCTCTCTCTCTCTCTCTCTCTCTTGCCTAATGTGCGCATTGTGTGTGGGGGCACCGGCACACCGTCGGAGCCGCCACCACCGAGGCCCCACAGATAATCCAGCCAAGAAGGCACGCCAACAACGTGGTCTGGTTGTCCAGGCATCTCTGCGAGTTCCCTGGCAAGAGCGGGGTTCGGCCCAGCTTTTCAGCGCAGATGGTCGCCCACCGTTCTAACCTCTTGCGGGGGAGGGACCTGGCAGCATGACGCTGCTCCTTGTCTTGCTTCCACAGCTCTCTCTCTCTCTCTCTCTCTCTCTCTCTCTCTCGGCGTGTCTTACTCTGTCGTTATGCGGGCCTCTTCTTCCGGGAGATAATTCCGCGCACAGGCTCCCTCTGGTGTTTCCGGGGTAGCAACAAGCACACGGACTTGTCGGCCGGAGAATTGAGACGAGAAAAACCCGCCGTTCGATCACGCCCTCCTATACGGCTGACATCATGACCACATGATGTCACATCTGAGATCTTTTCAGCCAAGGTCAGCCGGACATCGGCGACCGGGGCGGGCGTTGTTTTTGCCCTGGCGTGGGATGCGTTTGGCCTCTTTCTCTCCCTCGCTCTCAGCCCTCTCTCTCTCTCTCTCTCTCTTGCCCTCTCCCCCCTGGCTCTCCGTGCGCCCGGCACTGCGGGGCCAGTAAGCCCGGCCCGCATACCCCCTCTTCTCCGTTCCCCCCTCGCCGCCTGGATGGGGGGAGGGCGCAGGCGATTTGGACAATGGGTGACCAGTTGGCGGCCGTGGGCCGGCGCCAGTGGTTCATACGCCCAACCGGCCGCTTGGCGACAGGGCCCGGAGTACTGTGTGCCCCGGGAGCGCAGGGCACGGACGAGCGGGGGTGTCCTCGGCGTGCCAGCCAAGAGTATTTCTTTTTTTCCTGGCATCAATCTGGACCCGGCTCTTTCCCGGCCCCGCTCCCCATGCCCCCGCCCCCCGCTGCCCTGCCGCACTCTCGCGGCCCAAGACTCGGTTGTTTATTTTCGCATCCTTGGGCCGACCGCGCCGCCACATTGTCTGCGGCCAGGCGCGAGGGGGCATCGCATGACACGGGGCCTTCATTCGCTGTTCTCTGCCTCCCCCCCCCCCCCCCGGTTCTGGGGTCCTGTCCAGGCATCAGCCGGCCGGCCGGGGACCAGCCCGGTTTCCATGGGGACCTCCGCAGCACGTCCCAGTACTGGGGGAGGGGGGGGGGGAGGGGAAGGTTAGATGGCCCCGACTCCGCGTGCGTGTACCCACACCGCGCCCACCCGACAGACATGTTCCCACTAGCGCCGCATGTGTGACCTTGCCTGTCCGATCGCTTGCCCCTCGGCTGACCGTGCATGCTTATTTTTGCCCCCCTCCCCTGAGGACGCGCGACCTTGAGGGGGAAGGGCCACAAGCCATCCAGACCCCGGCACTCGCCTCCCCCCCCCCCC